AATACCTCACTATGAAGTAGTCTGCAGCCTCTGCAGCATGAGTTCGATCCGCAACTAGCCAGGGAGCAACCCACATGGCACAGCCAGACCTCTCCTGTCTTTCCCGCTGCTCCCCTCAGCAGTGTATTTCAGTTGATCTGCCTGTTCTGTTTCCCACTCTGTTTCTGGTGAATCCTCTCACTCCCTCGCATCTCTGGCCTATACCCCAGCTCTTGTACGCTTAAATAAATAAATCTTTTAAAAAATTATCTCTCTAGTTATTTTTCTAAGTCACATAGTTGAGGATGTCGCTCTCATGAGTAAATGATTAATGACTTTTCATAGACTTTAGGACATAACCTGAATTTAGTACGGCATCAATATTTCTCCTTCCCTATACCATCTAATACATCTACTTACACTCTATATTATGCTCCATTTAAGAAACATGAATTCCTTGGCATTGCACCTTTGCATGGGCACTTATTTCTGCCTACAATGGTCTTACTCCATTCTTCATGGGAAGGAGAGCCTTTCGTTTTCCACAAATTTTGATGCCATTACCACCTGACCTATCTTTGACTGCCCTCCATATGCATGTACCTTAGCCCTTATCATACTTCTTCTTATCCTATAAGATCCTAAATGACAGAGGATATCTAGTGTAGTGTTTAGGACATAATACAGTCCACAAATTAACTGTTAAACTATTGAAAGGAAAAGGAGGTTGACAATAGCTTTAATAAACATATTTCCTAGACATCAATCTGAGTATCCAAAAAAAAAAACCCTGAAGTTATTAATAGCATAATTTTAATATCCTATGTATTTTATCATACTTTATTTATTTGAAATTAATTAGCATATTGAGTATTATTAATGTCTATTTTATTGAGATCAAACAAGGAATTTTCAGTCTACACACACCAACCTGGATCAGATATCCATTATGTGTAATCTCTGCTGAATCAGTTTACCGACCTTTTACTTCAAGCCAGTCCACACACCTGTACATTATTAATCTTTCTTAAGTTTTCAGAACTCTAGTCCCTATTCAAAAACCTTTATTTTTCTACATTTTTATAAATGCAATTTTCAGTTTCTTATTAAGATTTTCCATCTGTTTCTCACCATACCTTTCAGATTTTCTCACTAAAATTTATGAAATGTTTTAATTTGTTTGGACTGTTAATACAAAATAACCACGGAATGGGTAGATTATACAAAACAGAAATTTATTTCTCATACTTGTGGAGGCTGGAAGCCGGCTATCAGGATATCAGTATGGTTAGATGAGGGTCCCCATTCACGTCACAGATTTCTCATTGTATCCTCTCATGGTGGAGAGGACAAAGAAAACTCTCTTTGACCTCTTTTATAAGGGTATTAATTTCATTCATGAAGACTCGGTCCAACCTCCCAATACCATCATATTGGGCTTTAGTATTTCAACATATGAATTTGAGAAGGACACAAACATTCAGATCATCTCTTGTAACCTGCTCTATGCTTTGATGTAGTTTTCTGTTCATTTCTATTTCTGTAAGTTAGATCACATTCTCCCAACAAAGGCATATACTCAAAGCCCTATTAAAATTCTTACTTCCTTGGGAGTGCAAACTGGTCCAACCACTATGGAGAGCTGTGTGGAGATTTCTGGACCTACTAAACATAGAGCTTCCATATGATCCAGCAATTCCACTCCTAGGTATTTACCCAAAGGACACAGAAACATCAATTCCAAAGAACACCTGCACCCCTATGTTTATAGCAGCACTATTTACAATAGCTAAGCTTTGGAAACAGCCCAAATGCCCAAAAATAGATGACTGGATCAAGAAGATGTGGTACATATATACCATGGAATATTACTCAGCATTCAAAAAAGATAAACGCATGCTATTTGCAGCAACATGGATGGCGCTGGAAGGGATCATGCTCAGCGAAATAAGCCAGAAAGATAAAGAAAAATACCGGATGGTCTCACTCATAGCAGGAATCTAGAAAACCTAAATAAGGGACCAGGAAAATGAATAACTATAAGAAAGTGAAAATCAAAATCAACAAAAAACTATGAACCAGAGACACTTTCTGGGGGGTGGGGGGCGGGAGGGGAGGGATTGGGGTCAGAATGGGGGGGTTGCAGTTGTATGGGAAATATAAAAATAAAATTTATTATTAAAAAAAAAATTCTTACCTCCTAACCAAGCCCTTCTCCCTAATTTTAAGCATATTCCATATATGCAGACTTCTATAATACTGTCTATAAGATGCTAAGGCACATATCCATTTCCACATTGTTTTCAAGTAAAAACATGTCATAGTTTCTCTTCTTCTCTACATTTGTACAGAATTCATGTTTGACTTAACTTTGCATTTGATTCTATTGTCCTAATGCAGTAGAAGAAAAAGAAACAAACAAAAAAGAAAATAACAGAGCCCCTGGGGTTAGAGAGAGAGAAAGCACTACACAATCTTTCCTGGATATACCAGGCAAAGAGGCAGTTGGCGATACAGATTTACTGGAGGAAAACAAAGCCTTAACAGTAAGATGATAAGGTCTAAGATTTTCTGCCAGCAAGTGAGGGAAAACAGGGCGCCCACTGAGTAGGATTAACAGATTACATTCAACTTTATATCTATATTTAAATATATATAGACATATATAAATATAGATATATAGATAGATATAGATATAATCTAGCAAGAAAAAGTAATTGGACTTAACCATAACCAGCAACTGTTTTTGATGTACTTAGTATTGCTTGCGAAGGATGGGATTAATGTCAAAACACTAGAGGACTTGTAATTTGCTGAATGTGAATTATATTTAAATTAGCCATAAAGCAAAACATACCTCCTTCTCAATTCAAACTTTAGGATTAGTCAATTTCTACAAATCCCTTTGTTCTATTTATGATATCTCTAGTAGAGGATATATTTTATTTGTAAAGAATGCATCAATTCCTTCTATAAAGTCAACATTTTAGTTTTCAAAGGAGTAAAATTCAGATGAGCAAACCTTAGAATGTTGATATAATAACATGAATTTCTGCCTTTGTGGCTTTTAGTCCACATATGTTTAGTGGCCAGTGATACAATGTGTGTGTGTGTGTGTGTGTGTGTGTGTGTAAAGCCAGTGATTCAATTTTTATTTTTAATGTTTCATTTAGAATATACAACCTATTATACATATTAAGTGAAATGTATTTTTTACTTATTTTTTAAAAAGACACATTTCAATTTTAGGAATGATCTGTGCTTATTAAAATGCAAACTCAAAGTTAACAGAAAGTATCGGGCATAAACATATTTAAGGATAAAAGTTTGAAACAAGATATTATTCAAAAGGAATTTAGAAGTGGAAACTAAACGAGCTAATTTTAATATATAAGAAAAGTTGACAATTTTACGTTTCTTAAAATATACTACCTCCAAAAAAAAAAAAACCTCTATACCAAGAGCTAATTTAATTTCTTGTGCAAGGCTTACATTTCCAAATCTCACATAGCTTATTTTCATAGTCTGTTGTCCTACATGTGAGTTATAATGAATGACAAAAAAAAAGAAAGAAACAGTATATAATAAGTTGGCATTTTTAATAAATCAGTGCTTCTAGACATTAAGAAGGGACTAACAGACATTCTATCCAGTATTACTGTGTTAATAACTCTTTCCAAGTATAATTTTCAAACCTTCTCGTTATGTATATACCAGCCTCCTAATATCATACCCCTTGATATTTTTTAAGCTAGTTCAACTTCTGATTCCTTCACAAAAGCTTTTCATCAAGTATCTGCATTCTTGAAGTTTTGAACAAATTTCAGCCAACATGGGAATTTCAGCTTGCTTCTTATTTAGCAAAGGCATGGAAATATCTTCAAAGCTAAATGTCCATCATTGCATCTTTTTTTTTTTTTAAGATTTATTTATTTTTATTTATTTATTTATAGAAGCACTGGGTACAGTCAGAAGCTCAGGAGGGTGAGAGAATTCACCAGAGCCAGAGCGGGGAGCAGAGCAGGCAGAAGGACCGAAGTACACTGCTGAGGGGAGCAGCGGGCGGCAGGAGAGGTCTGCGCGCCATGTGGGACTCTCCTCTGGTGGCCGGGGAGCAGCCAGGGATCGAACCGGCGCTGCAGAGGCTGCGGGCAGCTTTGCAACCCAGCACGCAACCACTGCGCCACCGGGGAGGCCCTCATCATTGCATCTTATTTTATATACAAATATAAAGACATGTAATTATATATAAATATATTAACCTAATATATAAGTAATATATATTTACATATACATTCACTATTATACATTTATTTAAATACATATTTGTAGAACCCTTAATATAGCCTAAGTATTTTCTACAGTAAAAGCAGCACAAGAGACACTCAAACACATCTTGAAACTGCTTCATCCTAAATTGTGATATATTTTATAATTGTCATCTTCAAAAATGCACTCTCTCAATTTCTCCCTTCTTCGTCTTTGTGATTTTCTTTCTGGCTGAACATGCTGATAGGATGGGAGTTAAATCCTGTAAACACCATCTGGCCCCTGCTTTAGAGGAAGGAGTTTGCTAATACAGCGCCTCCCTGACCCACTGTCATGTCTGCCAACCCTGCTGCTTCCTTCAGAATTCCCTAGGGGAGAAGGAAAATACCTTGTGGAGACTGACTCTAAATGAGAAGATCAAATTGTCTTCCATTTTGGATTTTTCTTGGGGGTGAAAATAAATTGCCAGGCAGCACAAAGTTCCGCAGACAGAGGATCATGTTCTTCAGGAACGCGTCACCATGTGGCCCCTTTGATTCTAAGCACAAGTTTCCCAGGCAAGCAGTTTCCAGCTGTCCTTAGAAATGGGTTTCCTCTGCTCTTAAGATTCTTATTTCATGGATATTAGAACCTGCTGAGTTGCTTCAAACTATGAAACCTGAGGAGAAATAGTAAGCTTGAGCATTTAGGGGTGAACTTCGCTTAGTTTATTTTCCCAGAGTCTTACAAATTATCATTATTGTGCTTTTCAGATAACTACAAAGAATGAATCACAAAGTGACAACTCAGCATACACAAAAGGAAAGAAAGAACTCTTAAGATCTCAGCTCTTGTTTGTGCACTCCATGAGACAAGAAACAGACAGTCCAACTACCTAAAATAAGGTATTTTTCTGGTGCTGTTAACCTGCAGCTAAGTACCAGTAGGAAAAGAAAAAAGAAGAAATTTAATTCACTGAAGCTAGTTATTGTTCGAAATAATTGCTACAGTAGAATAATACCTCTTGGAGGTTCATGTGTATGAAGGGGAAGAGAGCTGTTGGTTTCCTGCCAGGAATACTATTTTCTATCTTAGCCATTTCAATGAAAGAGACAAAGTAGCCTACCTCACAGTTCTGCAGGAAAGTTACATTGAAAAGGAAATAATTCCAAATCAAAGAAAAAGTCAAGCATTGGGAAGGGAAATCTAAGTTATTATCATATCAAAATATCCTATTGAGGGTCTTTTGTTTCTTTTCAACATAACTGCTTCTTTTTTCTTTATTTTTTAAAAGATTTATTTTTATTTATTTATGCATACAAGAACTGTGGTGTTCTTGTGCATGAGGGTGAGAGGATTCACCAGAGACAGAGTTGGGAGCAGAGCAGGCAGATCTACTGAAATGCACTGCTGAGGGGAGCAGCGGGTGAGACAGGAGAGGTCTGCTGCACCATGTGGGTCAGCTTCCTGGTGGGGATCGAACTCAAGTGGCAGTGGCTGGCAATAGCTTCATAGCACTGAGACTTAACCCCTTGCACCACAGGGAGGTCCCACAACTGCTGATTTTTTCCACACATGTATGTAGTTCCATTTCGTACATGAAAAAAACAATGGCCATACCCCTACACAAATATCCTTGTAACTTCCCACATCCCACATGAATCATATCCACAGCCCCAAGATGCCGTTGTCAATCACTTTTATAGTATTTTCCTTCTTGAACATGTTTGGACAAACTCAGAAGACAGCCTACTATGAATCACATTTTTTATTTTGTTTTTTAATTTTCTATATTTTTTATTTTTTAATTAATGAAATATATTGTTTTACATTCTTAATATTTTCACAATATAGGATTCTCCCATCAGGAGTGGTGTAGGGCCTCAGCTTCAAGCTTGCCTGATTCTTGGTGGTGGCAGATGAGAAAACAGGTCAGAAGCCCCTGAGTGGGGCCAGGAGTAAATCTTTATTAGGTGGCAGCAGGAGTTACACGGGTAGCAACAGCAGCAGCATCCAGCAGAGGCAGCCCCCCTGGGCTCCAGCCACAGTGGTGGCCCTGTGCCTTGTGAGTGGCCAATGAGTAGCCTGTGAGAGGCCCTGTTAGCTTTCATGAGATATGTAGACAAAGCCACACAGGGCTAAGTTTAGGCCTACTTTACAGAATTATGTTTCACGTATGCAAACTATATACATCAAGGTTACATATTATTTGCCGCTTTTTGCACATGCAGACTGCATCTCAAGGCTACATGGCATCTACTAGGCCACCAGTGCTGGAAGGCAATGGCCGAGAAACTCTGAGAAAACTGTTTTCCCACAAACCTACATGTGGTAACTATGCCTCTCCCTCCAGGAAAGCACCCATAGTCCTTTTCCATAGTCTGTCGTGATGCCCCTACCCCACACCCCGTTCAAGCATGCCTGCTGCTGGTTCACCCACACTCCAGATCACAGAGTAGTCAGTCCTCACCTGCAGCCTCTCTCTATCAACTTTGGTACCACAATTATTGATGAGTGAGCCCTAGAAATTCACCTGGGGAGCAAACTAAAGCTGTTTTCCTTAAATATTATGGTCAGCTAATTGAAAAAGGACTTATATAACAAACATGTTACAACCGAAATGACTTAAAAGGACATGATCCAAGAAGCATTTATCTACACAGCCAATCAACAATGAAAGCTGTAAATCAGAGGCAATCAGCAGGGAAATGAGGAGGGGGAAAAGAGGCCATTCTATCAGCTCTGTAGAACAGTCAGTGACAAGTAGAGTAGCAGAGATTTAAAGCAACAAGTTTAAATCCACCCTTGTGGATCCGTGGAGACTGGATAATAGATGTCATTGCATATCCTTCCACTCATTTTTTTGGCTTGCTAGTCTTACATAACTATTTCTGCAAATAATGAATATTGATTTTGTTTTGACCTGCAAGCCCAGAAATTTTTTTAACTGAATTCACATTTTAAATAACAAATTTTATTTAGTTTCACCTATAGGAGGAATACAGGGAACCAAATAAGGAATCAGGAATAAAAAAACAATAAAAACCAAAATTAACAGGCAACTATAAATCAGACATTCTACAGGGGGATCAAAACAGGGGAGGGGCCTCCCTGGTGGCTCAAGGGGTTAAGATGCAACCTATGAAGCTTCTGCAGCCTCTGCAGCATGAGTTCGATCCCTGGCCAGAGAGCTACACACGTGGTGCAGCAGACCTCTCCTGATTCACCTCCTGTTCCCCTCAGCCATGTATTTCAGTCAGTCTGCCTGTTCTGTTCCCCACTCTGTCTCTAGTGTATCCTTTCACCCCCCATACCTCTGGCCTGTATCCCAGTTCATGTATGCATAAATAAATAAATATTTTTAAAAAAATAGTGAGGGAAGAGCACAAGGGAATATGGTGATGATGCACAGGTAAATTGATAGTGGGAATTTTACCGGGACTACACCTGAGAGGAGAAAGCATACATTGTACAAAAATGAACAATGATGTAAAATAAATATATATAAATAAATTATAAAAAATTCAAAAAATAAAAAACACTTTCTATAGAAAAAGATAGCTAATTTTATTTAGTGTTTTTTACAGATTATAGATTTAATCAGTTTTGTTGAAAATAACATACCATTACTTGCAAATCAACTATATATTTCCTTACAAGAATTCTTATATTTTTTAACTGTTTACTTTTTGAAGTATGCAAAGCATGTCTTAATTCAGAGAGTCAAACCAATAATAATCATATTGGACATAATTCCAATTCCAATTTTACTTTTATCCATCTGTAAAATAACTGACTTAAATAACTAATTTTTTGACCAAACTACTAAAAGTAGCATATAATGTATATGTGTTCATGTGTCAGACATTCTTTAAAATGCTTGATGTAAAGATGATTTAGAATAACAGTCGTAGGGCCTCGCTGGTGGCTCAAGAGGTTAAGTCTCAGCATTATCAAGCTATTGCCAACCATTGCAGCCTGAGTTGGATTTCTGGCCAGCCAGGGAACTAACCCACATGGCACAGCAGACCTCTCCTGTCTCGCCCGATGCTCCCCTCAGCAGTGTATTTCAGTAGATCTGCCTGTTCTGCTCTCCACTCTCTGGTGAATCCTCTCACCCCGCACCCTCTGGCTTACACCCCAGTTCTTGTATGCATAAATAAATAAATCTTTAAAAGTAAATAAATAAAGTAGCATTTTCTGTTGAGAAATCTATCCTGTATTTAGAACCACAGTCAGGGAGACATGAAAGCAAGGGTACCTGGCTAGTATTCTGGGGAGGTGGTTCCAACTGTTGTTTGGAATCTCAAATAAGGCTATTGATTAGATCCCTGAACAGAATTGGTCTGTGGTGTATGGCCTAAGAAGTTGCCACTTGTCTCATATTCAGAAGGAGTCCCTCTTTGGTTTAATGCTGGGCTATCACTGTCTTGAAATTCTTAATAATGTTTTCTTTGAATGTCTCTTTACACTACCCACGGATCAACAGAGCATGCGTGTGAGCAGAATAGACACAAGGAACGTGTGTATCCAATCTTCCTCACTGCATTTGCATAGAGTGTTTGTACTGATTCATGAGCACAGGTCCCTTGTGGATTCTGACTTGTGAAAGTTTAGTGAGACTGAAATCTTGTACAAGATGAGCAATTTGCTTCTACAACTGAGTAATCAAGGTGGAGAGTTGGTGCTGACCGTCTGGAGAGGCCATGTTTTTGTTAGTAGCATCATTTGTTTCTAAAGCAAAAAGATGGGATTGATTGAGAGCAACACGAATCAGCAATTACTTATGCTATGTCTTGAACTAGCCAATCACTTGGGCTGAAAATAATGATACAGAAGGAAAAGGGAAAATGTAGAAACTTGTGGTTTCCGTTGCTTTTAGTGCTCCCTTTTTCATCAGTAAGCTGATAGTAGACACTGTTGGTTGAAGGTGTTTTAAGAAATGAAATAAAAATGATTGAGATCATTTTGTGCAGTGATCCATTCTTCTGAAAGAACTGAATTATGTGCATATGAGCTACAAAATATGAATGGCATATAAAAACTAGTATGGTGCAGCGGTAAGAAACTTCGCCTCCCTCCTTCAATTGTCTCACTTTCTCCAAACTCAAATTTTCTTCTAGTCTATTTTGGAAGGGGTAAGATTTTCATAGTAGCATGGAAGTGGAGTGACCACCCTGAATATCCTGCTCTCAAACATTTTTTGCATTTCAAGACTCCCCACCATCCGCTGTGAGATTTAGATTTTTATGAACCAGAGCCAGGAATCAATTCTGTTTCTTTCCTTTTTCTTTTTCCTGTTTTCAACTCATCACATTCCTCCCCAAGGTAAGATCACAGAAAGCCCAAATGCTTGAGTGGAAGAAAGAAATGGCAGCAGAAAATAAGGGCCAAGTATAAATGAATATTTCAAATTTACCATATTGCTAAACCAGAATAAAATTTTGTGCCATATTTCAACTTGATTTACTTTTTCTAAACTCCAAATATCTTGATTTTCTAAGGTGAGCTGCTACAAAAACAACAATATTGAAAGCTGCTGTTCTTATTTGAGCTCCAGGGCTTTGTCTTTGCAACAAATTGTGATTAAATGATGATTTCAGTAATTTTTTTGAACCATTCTCCTATGGAAGATTTTTTCCCCTGCCTTTTGTTGGGGTGGAGACAGGTAGAAAAGAGGGAAGGATGCAGGCCATTGCTAGCACAGTAGCTGTTAACTCTTTAATAATTTATTTGATAATATCTTTAAAATTCCTTTAAAGCCTTAAAAGTTTCCATCAGCAGCGGTTGAGCGCTTGGTTGCGAGGCTTCCCGCAGACTCAGCGCCAGTTCGATCCCCCGCCACCAGCGAGGGTCCCACAAAAAAAAAAAAAAAAAAAAAAAAGGCTTCCATCCTTTT